TCGTCGCAAGCGACGGGTTCGACAAGAACGGTGACCGGTGCTTGAAGTACCTAGAAGCACCGTTAGTGGATCGGGAGGAATAAGATGTCTAATGTGGCAAACAGAAATCGACGCGACGACAAGCTATGTTTCCAAAATCCAAAACTACATTAAAGAATAGTATACTAGGTATGAGCGTTAGGATATTTAATAAACTACCGAAGAAATTAAGAGACTTAGATGATTTTAATTTAAAAAAAAACCTAAAAGGGGTAATCTTATTAGTGAAAATTATTATCACATAAATGATTTTCTTAGGGATGACATTGAAAATAAATGGATTTTTAATTATTAGTTGGGAGTATGAATGAATGAATGGTAAATTATACCTAATATATAAAATTCTCGTGTCACAGTTTTCGTTGCCATACTCCTCCGAAACGGCTTGACCGATTTTGATGAAATTTTTTGTGCTTATCCGGTATCTATGAGAATCGGCCAACATCTATTTTTTATCCCCCTAAATGTTAGGGGTAGTCCACCCCTAAATTTTATTTTTTATTTTTTAGACAAAAATTTTTATTTCTATTTTTTGATGATACAGCATATAAAAATACATACAACCCAAAATTTTCACCCCTCTACGATCAACCCTTCTTTTTTTAATTGATAATTAAAAATTTTAAAATTTTTTGCGAGAATTTTGTTTTTATTTTGTCATGACGTAGAATAAAAAAATTCATATTACTCTGAAATTTTCACCCCTCTATGATCAACCCTTATTTTTTATTTGTTAATTATAAACTTTAATTGTTTTGGCAAGATTTTCATTTTTATTTTTATTTCGTCATGAATTAAAATAAAAAATCTGATGTTACTCTCAATTTTTCACCCCTCTATGATCAACCGCTATTTTTTATTTGTTAATTATAAACTTTAATTTATTTGGCAAGTTTTTTATTTTATTTTGTTATGACTTAAAATAAAAAAAATCATATTACTCTCAATTTTCACTCTTATATGATCAACCCCTATTTTTCCACCCCGATTAATATTTTTTTTTCTATGCACAGATCTGCAGTAAGGTTGCAAGATGGCAATCAAATTTTATAATTGTAGTACGATAAATTCTTATTCAGAGTTTATAATTTCAAGTTCCTTTAATTATAATTTTTTTTTAATTTAATTTGATCTCCCTCCCTCTCCGGTCGACTACTGATCAACTATCAATCGATCAGCGATCCCCGCCAGGTGTCACCTCTCATCCAGCAAACATCACGTAGTAGGGATGAGGACGAAGCCGGTCTCCTGTTTTACTTACTCACTATACATCATAGATTATACACTTAATATATAATTTGAGAGCTCTACAATACTATACATTTTTCAGCCATGTTTTTTTGGTTTTATTTGTGTATCAATAGTATGTTCAGTAGGTCTGAGAATCGGCTACTCTCTATTTTTCATACCCCTAAGTGAAAAGGGTTGTCCACCCCAAACATTTATTTTTTATTTTAATTTTTTGGATATATTTTTTTGTTTATAATGAGGTATTATGTGGTTAAATGAGATTTTTTTTCTACAGTAGAATTTTCCTAGAAATCTTATTTAAGGCAACACAACGTTTGCCGGGTCAGCTAGTAATATTATAATATCTTGCACTGCACTAAAATTCGCATGTCAAATAATGACAAAGCATACACCAGCTGCTTTTAATTTATGTAATATCTCATTTTCACTATGCTTAGCGAATAATTGATTTCTTTCTTTCTTTCTTAATTGTAAATAAATTTTAACATAGTTTAACAAAATTCGACTTCAAATAGAAAATGAAAAAAGATATGTCAAAACAAATGAATACACACTAAAAAACAATAATCATCGAAATCGGTTGGCGTGATATTGAGTTATTGAGTTATCCATATGTTTGTAGCGCACGTACTTAATGCAAATTTAAGACTTATATGGTTTTCTCATGGATACCATTATCAGAACTGGACTAAATTGAAATGGGACCACACGAGAAGCGTCAGCTTTCTAATAAAAAAATAATCATCGAAATCGATTCACCCAGTCAAAAGCTATGAGGTAACAAACATAAAATAAAAAAAAGCATACAGTCGAATTGAGAACCTCCTCCATTTTTTTAAGTCGGTTAAATAATCGCGGCTACCTGATGTTTTAGTAAGCCGACACTGATCCTTTCAGATTTTAAGCTTAGTAGAACACAAATTCACTGGTGCTGTGTACCTAGAGATAATAATAAATAATAAATAAATATTTAATAACAATCACGCCACGTTAACTGGTCCCGTGATAAGTTCGTAAAGAACTTGTGTTACAGGTACTAGAGAACGGAAATGAATGTAAGATTTTTATTATACACGTACATATATTTAATAGACATCCATAACCCTGGAAAAGACATTTATGTTTATCATACAAATATCTTCCCTTGTCGGGATTCGAACCCGCGACTCCCTTGGGTAGTGACCATGTCACTTACCACTACACCAGACGATCGTTAAATGTTTGAATAATCGAAATTAAGAACGGGAGCGAAATGGAGACGCGAAAAGAAGGACCTAGTAAAAGAACGAAGCGAATAATCGATCCAGTTTAATTAATTAATAGAAATTCCCGACATACGTCGCTCCGGACTCGTTCCGAGCTGATACTTCAATTTATTTTTATTTTTTATTGCTTAGATGGGTGGACGAGCTCACAGCCCACCTGGTGTTAAGTGGTTACTGGAGTCCATAGACATCTAGAACGTAAATGCGCCACCCACCTTGAGATATAACCTCTAAGGTCTCAAGTATAGTTACAACGGCTGCCCCACCGGCTGCTTCACGGCAGAAAATAGGCAGGGTGGTACCTACCCGCGCGGAGGTCCTACCACCAGTAATAAAAATTAGTTTTGAAAATTGGTTTTGGTGAAATTTGGTTGTATAGATTTTGCTATACAACCCTTGTTGCTCAGCTAGGCGATGTACTTAAGAGGTTCACTAAGGTCCTTGACCCTAAATTAAACAAAATGGTTGCTTGAGCTGTTCATACTATAAATTTTAGCATCGTCCTTATTAAACAATATTATTGATTTAAAATTTAATCATGTTAAAACTTTAGTTTTTTTTTTAATTGACCCTGTAGGCAGACGATCATACGACCCACCTGATGGTGAGTGGTTACCGTCGCCCATGGACTTCAGCAATGGCAGGGGCAGAGCCAAGCCGCTGCCAAGGTCCAAAGCTTGCTTCGTTGGTTAAAGCTTAAGGCATAAGTAATCTGTGATTGCTCATAATTGACAATGTGCACGACATTGACTATAATTATGTTTAATTCCTCGTCTGTCTCTCACTACTATTACGAATGCGATAATTATTTTCTTGTATCGTGTCGTAAATATTAAATGTAATATCTATGTCTGCGGTTTTAGTATTGCCGCTTTAGTCAATAAACGAGCGATTCAGTGCGAGTTTTTTAACGTACTCGATAACGTAAAAGTTAACTCATATTTGTATGGAGTCGGAACGTTTGTCTACGTTCATTCCCGATCCTGCGGACAGAATGGAAAGCAGTCGAGGCGCCCAAAACACGTCATCACGGATCCTCCCGATCCACTAACGGTGCTTCTAGGTACTTCAAGCACCGGTCACCGTTCTCGTCGAGCCCGTCGCTTGCGACGAAGGGCTCGACGAGTAAATTAACTCTCAGACACAGCCCACTGAGTTTCTCGCCGGATCTTCTCAGTGGGTCGCGTTTCCGATCCGGTGGTAGATTCTGCGAAGCACGGCTCTTGCTAGGGTTCGTGTTAGCTTCGTCGTCAGGTTTGAGCCCCGTGAGCTCACCTACTAGTTACGGTTACGCTGGAATAGCCGCTCCAGGCTAACAGCTTAGGTAGGAAAAAAAATATGTCTACGTTTGCCGCTAGGGGCGCTGTTCCAACTGCAGACAAAATTGAGTTAACTTTTACGCTATCGAGAACGTTAAAAAACTCGCACAAAGCACGACGAATTCTAAAACGGGAGATAATGAGAGAAAGAGAAGAGGAGAGAATGGGAATGATATTTCACACAAACAAAAATGATTAGAAAATACATACGAAGTTTATCGGTAAAAGTGATAATTAGAACAAGTGATTTCTTTTGTTGCAGTATACCAGGACTCAAAGATGGACTTTTTTATAAATCCTAATATGTAGGGGTGAAATATTATTTGGTGTAAGCGACATTTTTGCAACATTTGCACTAGAACCATTCTTCTTCTTCTTCTTCCAGTGCCTCTTCAATCCTGCAGGTTGGCCGTTAGCTTTCTGTATTCCTTTCTGTCAGCAGCCAGCCGGAACAGCTGTTCGACGGAGACAATACTGGTCCACTCCCGGATATATATATTTAGAGCCATATAAATCTTAAAATATGGAAAAAATATGATAACGAAAAACTTCTTTAGCTATTGAGATGGATTTGAGAAAAAACAAAAAAAAAAAGCCCGCTGAGTTTGTTTCGCCGGTTCTTCTCGGGACTGTGGCTTTTTTTGAACCGGTGGTAGAGTTAACATTGTTATTTATATTTTGACATTCAACAAGTTGAAATAAATGATTTTGAATTCGAATTTGAATTTGTAAACATAATTAAAGTTGAATTAAAAACATCGAACTGTTGATGCTGATTCCAAATAAAACGGAACTTTTTTTATTGCTTAGATGGGTGGACGAGCTCACAGCCCACCTGGTGTTAGTGGTCACCGGAGCCCATAGACATCTACAACGTAAATGCCACCACCAACCTTGAGGTATGAGTTCTAAGGTCTCAGTATAGTTCTCTCTCAGTATAGTATAGTTGCAACGGCTGCCCCACCCTTCAAACCGAAACGCATTACTGCTTCACCGTACCTACCAAGGTCCTACCAACAGTAAATTGAAAGTGAGTTTGGAGATTTTTCATAAGCGGAGCGATAACCGCTGCCGCTATATCTCCGCACAAAGCGGTATCCTTTAACCAACGTTATAAGATAGTAACTCAAGAGCTTGTCTAGGCTAGTCAGTATCCTTGTACAATGAGGTGCATCGTGTTTGTTATAACAACTTTAATTGTTCATCTGGTATGTTGTTTATTATTAACATAGAGATAATATTTATTAGAAATGTTATTTTTTTATAACAATTGTTATGTTATTATGTAAAAAAAAACCCAAGAACCNGTTGTTTATTATTAACATAGAGATAATATTTATTAGAAATGTTATTTTTTTATAACAATTGTTATGTTATTATGTAAAAAAAAAACCCAAGAACCCACCCTCTTTTAGCTGATCTCATTAAAAAGTATGATGTTTTTTAAATATGCACTAATTTGATCTTTAGTAACTATTTTTTTATATTTATTGACTATGATACTGTTGCGTTGTGGTGATTGAGAGTGGACTGTATTTATTTAGTTTAGATATTATTATCTTTATTAGTCCATAGTTGACAAATTAAAGATATACTAGAGGTCCCTGTATTGGAGTGTTGCAGGTGAAATAAAAGAGAACTGTTCAAGTCGACAATTCGTGTAATACTGTTATAATTTAGTGTGTGCAGTTACAAATATAAGGTTAGGTGAGCTGCACACTACACCTCCCCTCTTTTTAAAAAAAATATGATATTATTATATAATTCCTTTTTTTTTTATTTACTTAAACTAAATTACACAAAATATTATTAAATTTCATACTTTACTAACAAAAATCCAATAAAACAATATTTTAAGTTACAAACTTCTTTGTATTATTTTTATAAATGCTTTATTATCTTTATGCTTTATTATCTATATGCTTTATTATCCTTTAAAATTATCTACATCTAATGACCCCATTAAATCTAAAATAACTCTCTCAAAAGCAGTGGAGGCCGTGGATGTGATAACCATTGGCTCCTTTGTATGTCTATTGGAATGCTTTTGAATCTGACAACTTTTACATTTCTTTACGTATTCTGATACTTCATTGGTCATTCCTGGCCAATAATAATACTTCCTAATATTATTTAACATTCTGTTTACCCCCGCGTGGCCACTCGTGGGTAACAGGTGGAAGTCATTTAGGATCACAGTCTTTGTGTCTTTGTCAGTAATTCTTGTCACATCTTTAATAACAAGTAACTTGGGAAAACCTTTCAAATGGCTTATTTCCTTTACAAAATCGTTTACAAGTTGTTCATAGCGCTTGCTTTTAATTATTACGAGCACGTTTATTTTGATTTGCTTGCAAAAACGTTATAATTCTCTCATTAACACACTTACGGTAGACAACGATTGAGAAATTATAAAAATTGCTGATTTTTCAGGCACGAATTTGCAGTTACCATTATCACTAGTAAAATGTTTGAATTTTTCTATCTGTTTTAATGTATTTTTATTACAAAATAGAATCAATTCAACGCTGTCAATTGGTCGTTTGAGGATTTCCACTACTTTAGGTTGATCAGGCCTTGGAGTAGAGGATACCTCCGTAGTCATATTATTGTTGTCACAGTCAATACGTAACCTACGAGCCTGTGCTCTTGTCATGAACGATACTACATGCTGTTGCATTTCCTTTAAGCTGTTGGATGTAAAAGGTATCCGGCTCAATGCATCTGCAGCTGAGTTGTGCAAAATTCACATGATTAATTATAATATTTAAATAAATATATCCCATAGACTCTAAATTACCACTAATTTCTTCTATAACTATCTTATCCTGTTGTAGTAAATTCAATAAATTCTACTAAACTAGCTGCACTATCGATTAATAAATTAAGATCGATATTACTATTTTTAAGCTGACACTTAATTACACAAAAATTACTATAACTAAAAATCGAATGAGTGCACTGTTTAGGTACGAAAAAACTCTAAGTTGTCATAATTATTTGCGTTATCGTTGCGCAAGTTGTCTTGGACATTGGACTCTTGCGTATTATGCTGTACATGCTGATTATTCATCGGCCGTCCGCGAAAATGCTGACGCTGGCGTTGATCGCCTGAGTGTTTACCTCGATTTACGATATATGAAGTTCGTTGACCTGTACTATTTTCATAACAATTATAGTTACGATTATAATTTTTCTTATTCCTATAAAATAGCTATCTCCTCGGCCTCGGAAACCTTTGTAGTTTCCGCGTTTAACATTTTGGTTAGCTCTAAATTGCATAACCTGCTCTTGTGGATGGAAAGACATAGATTTCCTTAAACTGAATATAAAGTAATTCCGCATGGACTTAATAATAACATATAATACAGAACATTAAAATAACGTAAAAAAAATTACAATATCAGAGCAAAAACTTACATTGCAGTAAGCACGTATTTACTTTCAACGTATAAGTAGGTAATGACGTCTTACGTAGCATGGGTGAATGAACTCCTCAGCATTGGACTCGAACTGACTCCTAGCTGCTCTACCTCGGACCCGTACAATTTATCTCCCGGCGCCCTGCATATCCTCTTATTATAAGGCTTGAGCATTCTCCCGGCTCCCGGCAGCAACACCCTTTTTTGTCTTCTTCTATTGTTCTCATCGCTTTCATCCAAATCAATCTTCTGTGAGGGTTTTTTTTTTTTTTTCATTTTCTGTAATTTTAAAATCTTCTTTCCTCTTCTCGTTTTACAAACTTCTATTCTTCATAATATTCTTCATAATTATATTTCTTTATATTTTATTCAGCTACTCTCGTATTTTACGTATGTTGCAAAATTTTAACTGCTGGCTAAGGGTCGCCATGTATTGGAGTGTTGCAGGTGAAATAAACGAGAACTGTTCAAGTCGACAATTCGTGTATAATATATAATACTGTTATAATTTAGTGTGTGCAGTTACAAATATAAGGTTAGGTGAGCTGCACACTACATCCCGCAGTAGTCGAAATTCGACTATAATTAATTGGAATTGTAAGTTTGTACACTATTATGATTATATTTTATACTTCTATAATCACAAATTTCGCCAAGACTACACTATAAAAAATATTAACAAAGACAAGCAATATTCAATCTATTCTCAATTGTGTGTGTGTCAAATACATGGTATGTAGTGTGTGTAATATTTACTTTATTGATTTAATGTATTTTTTATGCATTATTTTAAAAAAATATTAGAATGCACTTCTTGTCTATATTCTCTATAAGTATGGAAAATTTCATACTCCTCCGTCCGCGCAATTTTCGTAAAAAGGGATACAAAGTTTTTGCTTCACGTATTAATATATAGATGAAATATAAAATCGATGTGTCGCCTTTGGCGGCTGGAATTGAAAAGGGAAAAGTGTCAGTGGTCTTAGCTGACGTCGGTCGTTGACACTTTTGTCGTTCCGAATTCTAACAGATTTTATGTTCCGTTCTAAGTCTTCACACGAATTCAAATTATACGGAACACTACAAACTATATTTTTTTATAATCTTAATAAATTCAAAGCTCTCAAAAAGATTATGCAATTGCAATTTTTTTAGGGCTACATACTTTGTTTTTTACAAGTAAAGTCTTCAAAACGATTTTAATTTAGTTTATTTTCTTCAGCTTACTCGAATTTGAAACGCAATTAAAACTAATTTTACGATTTAATCCCGCGCTTTTTTGTTGTCATTGTCATTCCGACGTTTCGGTTGCTATAACTTTTTTTTTGACAGCGGAAATAATATTATAATGCCAATAAAAATCGTATCTAATAAACCGTAAAAGTAGTTTTAGTTACGCTGTTATTAGTTTTCGCTTGAATGTTACATGAACTAAAGTGAGCGAGTTGCATTTTTTTTTGAGAGATTACTGGTGGACCGGAGGCCTTTCCAGTTTCACCAGAACAGATGGACGAGCATGGGCTCAGCCAGGAGGGGCGGGATTTGCTAATAGCTACCCGAGCGCCTCCGAAGGAGACCTATCAACTCAAGAGCAGCTGCTTCGCGAATGAATCTACTACCGGATCGGAATCGTGACCCGCTGAGAAGACTTCGACCTACTGTGTTTCGATTCACGCCCCAATAATATCACATTTCTTACAAATTCTTGTTTCAGTCGGAAGCGACCACTGGTGGTGGTAAAGCTCCAAAGATCCCGCTGAACGATGGTAACTCTATCCCGGCTTTGGGTCTCGGCACCTTCCTCGGGTTCTTACCTTATACGTGTGGACGAGCTCACAACCCAGGTGTTAAGTAGTTACTGGAGCCCATAGACGTTTACAACGTAAATGCGCCATCAACCTTGAGATATAAGTTCTAAGGTCTCAGTATAGTTACAACGACTGCCCCGCCCTTCAAACCGAAACGCATTACACCTTCACGACAGAAATAGGCAGGGTGGTGGTACCTACCCGTGCGGACTCACAAGAGGTCCTACCACCAGTAAATACGCAAAATGATAGTTTTGCGGGTTTGAATTTTGTTACATGTATTTAGTACATACTCCACCAGACCGTTCTGAGGCTCGAAGTAGCATCAGGCACAATTTTCTCAACGACTGTTTCCCTTTTCACAGAAAGGACAGAAAGAAGTTAAGCCAGGGGACTCGGAGAAGCCAGTTAAATGGGCTTTAGAAGCAGGATATAGGTGGGGTATAAAAACAAAAAGATTACCTATTATAAATTATCATATACATACCTATGTTTTTTTTATTGCTTAGGTGAGTGGACGAGCTCACAGCCAACCTGGTGTTAAGTGGTTACTGGAACCCATAGACGTCTACAACGTAAATGCGCCACCCACCTTGAGATATAAGTTCTAAGTTCTCAGTATAGTTACAACGGCTGACCTGCCCTTCAAACCGAAACGCGTTACTGCTTGACGGTAGAAATAGGCAGGGTGGTGGTACCTACCCGTGCGGGCTCACAAGACGTTCCACTACCACTAACCAGTCTCTGGTCTACCCTGCTTCAGTTGTAAGGTTAAGAAGTTAATTAAGTTATAAGGTAATTAAAATTACAGATTAATCGATACGGCTGCATTGTATTTAAATGAAGATCAGATAGGAGCGGCCGTCCGCGCCTCTGGCATTCCGAGAGAGGACATCTTCATCGTGACTAAGGTAACGATCTTGTGAAGGCGCGACACGACGCCATTTTGAATTTTTTGAACAAAGAATCTATCCTAAGACAGAAAGAAAGAAATCATTTATTCGCTAAGCATAGTGAAAATGACTTCACTACATAGTTTAAAACAAAGTCGCTTTCTCTGTCCCTATATCCCTATGTATGCTTAAATCTTTAAAACTACGCAACGGATTTTGATGCGGTTTTTTTAATAGATAGAGTGATTGAAGAGGAAGGTTTATATGTATAATAACATCCATTAAATAGTGGAAAAAACAATAATTAATTACAGTTTCCGAAGCGAAGAGATGGCAGGTCGCTAGTAGATATTACATAAGTTAAAAGCAGCTGGTGTATGATTTGTTATTATTTGACATGCGAATTTTAGCGCAGTGCAAGATATTATGAGATTATTTAATTTACCATTCATTCATCCATAGTTCAACTAATAATTGAGAAATCCATTTATTTTCAATGTCGTCCCTAAGAAAATCATTTATGTGATAATAATTTTCACTAATAAGATTATCTTTTTTTTCTTTTCTTTTTTTTCTTAAAATGAAAATCGTCTAGGCCTCTTAATTTCTTTGGTAGTTTAAGAGTAGTTTAATCGTCTCTAGATAACTTCTGCGTGATTATTTATAACAAGTTCCTTGGTGTATAGAAAAAAGTCTTCCGTCGTACCTACCTACGCAATATGTCAATTCAATTATCAATCACTTCTGGACATTGATAACAAAAAAAAACATAAGTTACGATTTAATGATTTTTTTGTATGTTTTTTTTTACGAACATATTATATAACCAATTTAATATTTTTTTTTTTCTTTCTATGAAATAAATAAATAAGCGTTAACAAATAATGTAGTGTTTCAGACCTAGTAGTAACCTATTTATAGGCTTTGGATTGAAATTAGAAAAGTGTATGACATTAGACATAATAACAAAACTGACATTTGAGTACGCACGCACACAGAGTGAGCAATATAAGCTAAAGTATCTGTTTCAATAAAGCCAAGGATGACGTATTTTGAGGGTAAACAAAGATCAAACATTTTTAATTGAAATAAAATAAAAATGTTGGTAGTCAAAAATTATTTATTATTCCTGAAATTTGTTTTTCAATCAAAAAGGTTTAATAAGAAAACATGTTCATCTCATTATTCTACCGTCAATAACCAATAAAAGCTAATGACAGAATTATTTAAATTTTTTTCTTCTTTTTTTTATTGCTTAGATAGGTGGACGAGCTCACGGGTCACCTGATGGTAAGTCGTTGCCGGGGCCCATAGACATCTACAACGTAAATCTAGCCACTGAATTCTTGGCAAGACGTGAATTCCTGTACAGAGTTAAATACGAAACTCTAACAAGCAAGCAAGTTGTAAGCGTCGCTGTAATAAAACCGACACTCATTTTTCTTTGTGTACACAATACAAGTGACAACTACCTAACAATTATAAAACAATTGAAAGTGATAACTGACATTGTTCTTAGGAACTTGGTTGGAGAAACCCTTTGTCGATTGGCAAACGGAAAATAACTAAAATTCAAATAAAAGACTAGATTAAGGTTCACATTAAATTTAAGTTTCTATATATTTAATCTTTTTTTTTTATTGTTTAGGTGGTGTTATGTGGTTACTGGAGCCCATAGACATCTACAACGTAAATGCGCCACCCACCTTGAGATATAAGTTCTAAGGTCTCAGTATAGTTATAACGACTGCCCCGCCCTTCAAACCGAAACGCATTACTGCTTCACGGCAGAAATAGGCAGGGTGGTGGTACTTACCCATTCATTCGTTCTTAGAAATATTTATGTTCGATGGGTTCGTAGACTTAACTCCGATAGTACAGAGGTCATTATTTCTTTTCTACCTTATTTGTTAGCCTTTAGAGGCTATTTCAGCTTCTCCTTGACGTGTAGGTGAGCTAACGGGGCTCAAACCTGGTGACGTTGCTAGCACTGGCCCTAGCAAGAGCAGTGCTGGGCTGAATCTACCAGCGGATGAGAAACGCGACCCACTGAGAAGATTCGGCGAGAAACTCAGTGGGCCATGGGTCATTTTGCAATTTCTGTAGATAGGACATCTTTATATCCGCTTCCAGGGACCACTAACATTTATCATCATCATCATCATCAGCATTTATCTGCCCACTGCTGGACATAGACCTTCCCCAATGCCTTCCACATAATGCGGTCCTCCGCCTTCCACATCCAACGACTTCCCGCCGCGGCGCCGTGAGCACTAAGTCGTCAGTCCACCTGGTTGGAGGACGCCCCATGCTCCTTGAATTACACAAAACCTTATTTCATAATAATACTAAAAATAATAACTGTTACCCGCGTCTTCGTCCGCGTGGTCTAGAAAGAGTGTCAATTTTTCTAATGCGTCACGTGTTTTTTGATAAATATATTAAAAATGTTTTCCGTTCGAATAAGATATTTCTTTCGGGATAAAAAGTAGCCCATGTCACTGTCATTATGTACCTAAAACTATTTCGTTACGTCGCTAAAGGACAAACAAACAAAGACACTTTCACGTTTACAATATTAGTATAGGTACAGTTAGTATAGATACTCTTTTTCGTAATCGAAGAGTTTGATGAGGACGGTGACCGGTGCTTGAGGAACCTAAAAGCACCGAGAGTGAATCCGGGGGATCCAACAAGACTTGTTTTGGGCGACGACGGCTTTGCGTTGCCCCGTCGCTTGGGTCGGATATATCTAATTACGGCGGTCACGATAAAAAGGTTATCGGGTCGCGCCGCTTTGTCGAAGTAGCTTAACCTTGTTTCAGCTACCAATGGACAATCAGAGAGACGTGGTGAAACAATTGGAGAAGTCTTTGGCGAGATTGAACATGAGCTACGTCGATCTGTACTTGATACACAATCCAGTTGCTTTTAATGTGAGTACCTATTAATTAATTTATTCCATAGTTCGGCAAAGAAAATCACTGCCTAGTTACATCAGTGTGCTTAGTGCGTGTTTTTTAACGTTCTCGATAGTGTGAAAGTTAACTCAAATTCGTATGCAGCGTCCCTAACGGCAAACGCAGGTAAACGTTCGACTCCATACAAATTCGAGTTAACTTTTACGATATCGAGAGCGTTAAAAAACTCGCACTAAGCACACAGATCCGAGCGGACTCGCTAGACGCCCCACCGCCGGTAATTACGTGTTTGATTTTGATTAGGTACACGATGTTATTCGTTTATATTTACAATGTTAAACTAATTAAATGAATGCGAAATTTAACCGGCAAAGAACATTACCACAACCGATAGATATTAGACGAAATTATTTTAAAAATAAAATTATAAAAAAAAATCTCTCTAAAGGTTTCATTTTTGTTTCGTTTGGGGTGGAAACTTTGGGCCCCTGGGGTCCATCTGCTAAAAGCTTTTTTAAGGACCTTAAAAAAAAAACTTTTTGGGGCCTCGGGAGACCATAAGGCCGGTACGTATTTTGCACAAAGAATTAGCATTGCTATCCAGCGTGGAAATGCTGCCAGCCTTCTGGGAACTCTGCCAACCGGCGGTGAGCTAACGCAGATTTTCTATTTATATGTAGCTTTACCTAAATAATTATTATTTTTATTCATTTATTAGGTTGTTTGTATATACATTTTTCTTTTTAAAAATAAACATTAGTACACGAAAAGTAATCATAAGCGAATGTTAAGGCTCCACTTCACAATCGGCCATGATGGGCCAACAAATGATCGTCCATCATCGCCGCCATTATCGGGCAGCTCTCCACAAAATCGTGAACGTTCATTTACTGACTGTCTACTGTTATGTTAAGACGTCTAGGTATCGAAGATGGAAATCGAGGAGGTCGCGGCGATGGCAATATTTTTAGTTAGCTCATATAGTCATTTAGTTGATGTGCGCGAAAAAAGAATCGTGAAACCTCTTCTTTTTATTGCACTTGTAGACAGACGAGAGCATACGGCTCACCTGATGGTGAATGGTTACCGTCGCCCATGGACTTCAGCAATGCTAGGAGCAGAGCCAAGCCGCTGCATATTGATAACGATAAACAAGATGGAGGAAGTGAAGGTGGTGGGTGGTGGCTATCAATCGGAACAAAACAAGGTCCACGCAGCCATAGTTTTGTAGTCGACANCAGAGCCAAGCCGCTGCATATTGATAACGATAAACAAGATGGAGGAAGTGAAGGTGGTGGGTGGTGGCTATCAATCGGAACAAAACAAGGTCCACGCAGCCATAGTTTTGTAGTCGACACAATTGACACACACTGAAGACAACTACAGCCTGACTAATCGGCGATGGTGTGGACGCTCACACAATTTAACGGCCGTCTGATGTAGTGGTAAGTGACATGGTCACTACATAAGGGGGTCGCGGGTTCGAATCCCGACAAGGGAAGATATTTGTATGATAAATATAAATGTTTTTTCCACGGTTATGGATGTATATTAAATATATGTATGTGTATAATAAAAATTTTACATTTATTTCCGTTATCTGGTACCTGTAACTCAACTTCTTTAATAACTTATCACGGGACCAGTTGACGTGGCGAGATCGAAAAAAAAAAAAAAAAAAAAAAAAAAAAAAAATGGGCCATCATTCTTTTGATCTACCGACACAACGCCGATTGTGAACGATCATACGCGATGATGGCTGATCACAGACATTTATGCCCTCTACACTATCGTGAGTTTCTATAATCGCCCATCATGGCCGATTGTGAAGAGGAGCCATAAGAAAGTAAAACTTTTTGAAACTTATCAATCACCAAACTCCTTGAGTCGCGTTTGCGAAAAGCAATATGACCGAATTTTAATCGCCTTAATAAGATTACCTGTGTCATTAATTATTGCACGATTACGATCGTTTGCGGCACGTAAAATACTTAATTAGCCGACAAGAGGATTAAAATTATATAAATAATTTATTTTCCATTAAGCCCCTTGATCTCGATGATAAACCTCTTTTTTGGCGTTCCAAGATGGCGATATCCGTTCATATAGGTGACTCACTATTTTTTTCTTCGCAATAATATGTTATTCTTATTTATTGAAATCAACTATTTTCACTCCAAATCAGACAGAAAACAGAAGTAATGTAAAGCTCTGTTTGAGCATGTGCAAGAGGGGACTAACCGCGTGCTTGAGCAGTACCCATCTGCGGAGGTGGTGGTTCTTGGAGACTTTAACGCTCACCACCAAGAGTGGTTGGGGACCAGAACCACTGACCTCCCGGGTCGGACTGCCTACGATTTCGCCTTGGCCTACGGCTTCTCCCAGCTGGTGACACAGCCCACCCGTGTCCCAGATATCGAGGGGCACGAGCCTTCTTTGTTGGACCTTCTGCTGACCACAGATCCGGCCGAATACAGTGTGGTGGTCGACGCTCCGCTAGGATCGTCTGATCACTGACTTATTCGTGCTGCCGTACCACTCTCTCGTCCCGGTCGTCGAAGGACGACCGGGTATCGTAGAGTTTGGCGGTATATGTCAGCAGATTGGGATGGATTGCGTGAATTTTACGCATCCTACCCATGGGGGCGGTTCTGCTTTTCCTCTGCTGATCCTGACGTCTGTGCGGACCGTCTTAAAGACGTGGTGCTCCGGGGGATGGAATTGTTTATTCCCTCCTCTGAAGTGCCCGTTGGGGGTCGCAGCAGACCCTGGTATAA